CAATGCTCGCACTGAGTCTGGCCCAATTGTAGCATTAAGGTTTCACATTATGCCTTGATAGTACACAGTCTGCACTTTTTCCCAGGTTTGAGTGTGGACTTCCTCAGCTTGTTTGAGAGAGAATTTGATATTTTGAGATCCTTATGCAGAACTTGTGCAACATGGTGGGAGATAACATGCGTATGAAAAGGGGACCCCCCCCCCCCCCCCCCCCCCCCCCCCCCCCCCCCCCCCCCCCCCGCCCCCCCATTAGCATGATCAGTTTAATTACAGAGGCATTTTATTTGACTTTGTTTTAAACACCTTTGCATTAATTTTGCCATAAACATAAGGGTTGCCATGTCTCCTGGTCTTGCACCTTTTATGCCAGCGTGAAAATGTATGTCTGGACCGATCCTAAAAGAGAATAGTAATGACATTTTGTACTCACTTGTTGCTTGGTCTGTACTGGTAGCCAGAAGAGTGGCAGTGATTTAACTCAGAAGCCACTTTCTGTGGGAGAATGAAGATCCCAGTCTTGCCACATAGCTCATGGCCGGTGTTGGCCAATGGCTGGCTTAGAGAGAGATTAATTCAGTTTGCTTTATCTTAGTTTGGGTGTTGGACCAGAGAAACATCCCTGTAGATTTAAGGTGTTTGCGCTGCAAGTGACAGTGCATCCAGCTTCAACCTGATGGTTTGTTTGCAGACGAGGAAGCCCCCTGCTGATTGGAGTGCGAAGTGAACACAAGCTCTCCACCGACCACATTCCCATACTGTACAGAACAGGTAAATACAGCTGCCAGGTCCTCTTACCACCCAGGAACAAGGGCATGTGTCAGATCTCATTTACCTTGGCCAAAATCCAGAGTGAGCTCATTGACATAAGGGAAGCGACTCCAGATTTATATGAATTTATCAGAGAGGAAGAACCATTGAACTACAAGCTATGCATTCAAAGGGAGGAAATGCAGCAAGGGAGAGATTTTTCTTTTAACCACATGCTGTGTTGTATCCCTCAGTTGACTTTACTCTGTGCCCTGTTGGGAAGATGAGAAATTGTGTTAGCAGAAATCTCTTTTGATTGTGATCAAAGGTTTGATGATGTGCATTTGCAGGTAATCTATTCCTAATAAGTAGCATTTATATTACACAGTCTTATCAGCATGCCCACGGATTGACAGTCACACTTTTTAATGTGAGAACTGGGGTTTATGCTCAAATAACTAGATCCTTTGTCTTATCCTCATGCTGGAAGAGTCTGACCCGGCACTTGTTAAAGTCAGTGAAACAACTTCCAGAGACTTAGTGAGGGTATTGGATCAGTCCCATGGGTCTCGCAGTGACAGGAATACGGGAACACAGCAACAGACCTTATTTCCAATTCTGTCACGACTGACAGCATTTTTCCCTTAAGATTGTGCCTCCGATTATGTAGAGACTGAATTGATAATAAATCTTCTGTCTCTGATTCCTTGCTTTACATTAGCTAACTGACTGGTTCTCGTTTGTTGCACGCTGTTACGCTGTAATATTGACTATTTTCACCAATTGTCTGAAGTTATTTTTCTTTCCAATTACACTTTCAGCTGTGCAATCTATGGATCATTCTTTTGATGGAATATCCATAAAAAAGGAGGAAGGTGCCTATCAGAGACATACCTTTAACACAAAACCTCTTGCCCCCTAAAGGGGGAATTGTAAATACGGGAAATCAGCATTGATTCTTTAATACGTGGCTATTGCTTTCCGTGTAGCACCATAAAACAAATAGGAGGATCAGTATTTCTTCATAGAAAACACAACAAATAATAATAAAAAGCCTCCTATTTCTCCCAGCTCTGAGTATGCAATGATGCTGAGTGCACATACAACCCTTAGAGCACCTTATCTGGACCATCTCGAACCAGATTCTGCTATGGGTCCTATGCACATAAGAGGCCATTTCCATTAAGAACAGTCGCTTCCAGCTGCTGACAACCCAAGGTTTGTCTTGTTATCTAGGTCAATACAGTATACTTCATATCTAGAAGTACAATATATTTACTCCATTATGGGGAGGAAAGGAAGGTGGCTTTAAATATAGCCGTATGCCATTAGCTTGCAGTAGCTACATCACCCTGGGGTGTGCACAGCCCTGGAGTATGGAGTGACCTCAATATTGAATAACATGACAGTCTGGTGGAACTGGTGGATTTTGAAGGTGTGGAGGTAACTGTGGACCAGCTAGTGATCTTGACTCTTAAAGGAGTAGGTGATTTTGGTTGCCTCCCATCCTTGTACTTGTACAAACAAGATGGTTTTAGTAAAAGCAGTAAAGTCAAAGTGGCTGACTTACTCGGATTTAAAAGTATTTCATGCCTCATAATGTTTGCTAACAGCCTCGGCATGAAGTGCTACTCTTCTGTTAGTTTACAGTAAGATTTTTGTGTTCTCCCTAAAAATCATATATAATGGAATGAGGTTTTAAGCAAGGCCATAACATCAGGTAACATATGCCACTTTGGTTGTCTCTGAAACACCGCTCCCAGCAATTCAAGATGTAGCCTCACTCACACAAGCATAGACAGATCTCATTTTCTGCAGAACCCAGTACTGTTTAGTACAGTAGTAGCTACTTAAAATGCCAAAACAGAGCATGCTCTGGTATCAGGATACAGTCAGCAACCTTGCCTTAGTGGTCTGGAAGTACTTGTTTATTTGCATTTTTATTTCTTAATTATCCATATCTTCACTCTTCGTGCTGAATAGGAAAAACTTCTGAGTTGATTTTAGATTTTGGTAAATAGGAATCTGTGATCCTTATCAGTGATCCCATAGATCCTCTGCCATATGCACCTGGCTTTAGTTTTTTGAAAATGTTCCCTAGGACCTTTCGTGCACCACACTAGTGCGTGGAATGGATTTTATTTAATGTACACAATGGCATGAATTTGCTCTTAAGCTTGCTCCAAGTGCATGAGTTGAGACACGCTTATGTAAGTGGTCTCTTGCACGCAGGCGCACCCTGTAGTTACAGGTGACCATGAAACATTGTGCTGATTGTGTAGTGTTTGGTGATTTGGTTTGTGGAAAGCAATGCCACTTACTAAAGATTATGCGGTCAGTGTTGTACCTGGGGGAAAAGAATCTGCATGCTGGAATTTAACATGGGTGTTTTCGGTGGGATCACTAACCCTCTGCCTGCTCTGATTGTGTCCTTTGGTAACGTGGTAAATGAAATGACGAGCTCTGAACTCTTGGTCTAGTAGAGCTTCCTTATTTTTCATCAGTATCAACATGAAAGCAGTTTTTTTGTCCTGATTTTTGGAAAAAACTCCAAAGCCACAGATGGCAGTATGCATGGAAATGCTAGTTGTTGTAATGAATCGGTGGAGTACATATTCTGTTTATAAAAACAGTTCCTGCTTTTTTACCACAAGGAAACAGCTGGGCCCGTAGAACAAGTTCCTGGTGTATCAAAAAAAGAAAGATGAAAACTTTCAAATTTTTATTTTTGTAACGTTTCCCTTCTTTTTAAAGAGTTTTGCTTAGTCTATCAAATCATTCCTCTGCCAAGGCTGAGTTGTCACATGCATTACATTAATTCTTTTGACCAAGTTAAAATATTAAACAACAGATATCATGCATTGGTCTTGGAGATTTATTTTACAGTTTAATAGTCCTTCCTAATAGGTCCTAAGGTTAAAAAAAAAAAGGTTGAAAAGCTTTTGAGAACATTTTAATGGAATTTTAGACTTCTTGAAAAACTTAGATTATCCCTGAAGTAATCATAGAAGCACAGCGGTCTGCGAATGTGAAACAATGTGGCTCTCACTGCTTAGTCAAGCTTATGCTTCTTTTGATCAACCTAAATAACTTCTTCTGAGGTGTGCAGCCTTAGTAAAGTTTGCCAGCAGTATAAGTGAGGGCAAAATTATTAGTAGCCTGGCCAGTCATGAAGGGCACAGAGCGATTACTCCTGTGGTCCATTGCCTCCGTTTATAAACTGTGATCAGCAAATAGACCATGAAAGAGATTTTGCTCATGGCTGCACCGGTTGAGCATCAGCAGGATGATTATACAGGTATAACGGAGGAAAGAATTTGAGCAGGAGACTTTTTACAAGCATTGGTGTTTCATAGTTTCACAGTAGCTAGGGTCAGGAGGGACCTGATCAGATCATCTCGCCTGACCCCCGGCCACAGGCAGGAACAAATGCTGGGTTCACAAGACCCCAGACAGGCAATCGTCCAACCTCCTCTTGAATTTGCCCGAGGTAGGGACGAGGACCACTTCCCTGGGAAGTTGGTTCCAGATTTTGGCCACCCTGTCTGTAAAATATTGCCTCCTGATCTCTAACCTAAACCTGTTCTCCATCAGCTTATTACCATTGATCCTCATCATCCCAGGTGGTGCTGGGGAGAGAAGGGCTCTGCCTGTTTGCTGTTGATCTCCCCTGAGGAGTGTGTAGGCAGCCACCGGGTGCCCCTTCAGCCCCCTTTTGTTGAGGCTGAACAGGTTCAGGTCCCTCAGCCTCTCCTGTCAGGGTCTGCCCTGCAGCCCTCTCACCAAGCAGGTGGCCTCCTCTGCACCCTCTCCATGCTGGCCACGTCCTTTTCGAAGTGCGGTGCCCAGAACTGGACACAGTACTCCACCTGCGGCCTGACCAGTGTCGCACAGAGGGGGAGGATCACTTCTCTGGACCGGCTTGTCGTGCATCCAAAGATGCATCTCAAGGTACGGCTGGCCTTGCTGGCTCCGGTTGTGTTAACTCAACCTAGTTGACTGGAAAAATACTGGGCCCCACAAAGTGTGGAAGAGCTCAGAAGGCAGTGAGAGTTACTTCCCAAAGCAGAACTGTGAAGAGACTCTTTTTAGTTAGTGACATTTTCTATAATTGTGCATTTCAGTGGCATGTTTAATGTCAAGCACAGCATTAATTGAAAAAGCTTTAAATGCCATGCAAACAAACTGAGAAAGGACACAGGAACATGAACAAACAATGCATGACTTGGAAAAGGAGAACATGATCCTCTTTTTGCAAAACCTACTTTCAGTGTTAAATTGACCATAACTGCCTGACATTAAACCAAAATGCAAAGCATCTAAACGAGGCTTCATGCTGATACTGTGACTTGGGGACTTTGGTTAAGGCTGACGTTGCAGTGCGTGTTCTCTATTTTATGGATACGTGATGCAGAATGCTTCATGCTTTGCAGGTAAGGACAAGAAGGGAAGCTGCAACCTATCTCGTATTGACAGCACCACCTGTCTTTTCCCTGTGGAAGAGAAAGCAGTGGAATATTACTTTGCCTCTGATGCTAGGTGAGATTCTTTAGCATAGTAAAAGTGATGCAATTTCAGTTTAGGGTCCTGGCAGGTAAACTGAGATCCAGGTGTTGCATTAGGAGTAGTTGCTCAATAAGCCTGTGAAACTGCTTTCAAAAGATTTACAAATAGTAATTTTCACATGCTGGGTGGTGAATTGTGTTCTCAGTTTTTGATGGTGGTGGGAGGGAAGCAGGGGTAAAGATAGGTGAAATCAGACTTTCTGCTAAAGACTTTCTTGCCTTCCTAGAATGGCCTTATTTTCAGTCAAGAATATCTGTTGATGATTCCAGCGTTGAGTAATGTGAAGTCTGTGAGACTGCTGACCCAAAGTCAACAGACACAGAAACGATCAGGAGGGTCGTGAAGCTCTCCAGGAGTTTTTGTTCATAAGCAATTCCCAGCATTATCTGCCGGGTCTCACATTTTAATCCCTGGGAGGGTGGAAGAGTAGTGATTAAAAAATACCTCTGCAGTATCCCTAATGAAATTTCAGCCTTCCACATGTTAACAAACAGAAGTAGGTCTCAGGTAAATGTGACCAGAGGTGACTTGCAGCTCCTTTCATCTGAGCATTTTGAAGAGCATTGAACATTTAGGTTTACAGTGTCCCTATATGTTCATCCCATTTTTACAAGAAGAGTCTAAGTGACTTGGCCAGGGTCAGACTGAGGCATTTAAATGTGGGTTTCACTGTTGAAACTCTGGGCAGAATCAGGTTTAAAATGCTGTTGGTTAAAAACTCCATATTTTCCTAGTGTTGAAATACCCCAAGTTAATTGATTCTGGATATACAATCCCATAGCAATAAACGTCCAACTCGTCATACCTTTCATGATGTGATTTCCTCTTAGAGATGGCACAGGGAGGGGAAATGACTTGCCCAGGATCTCTCAGCAGGCCGCAGAGCCAGGAATTGAACTCAGGTCTCCCAAGTCCCACTCTTTACCTCTTAATGCTTAGACCAGACTGCAGCATAATATCCTTTGTCTAAGATATGCACAGAGCAGTCTTAAAGGGAGCCCATAAATTAATAATGAGACAAGGGGATGAAATCTTGTTCTGTTGTCAGTGTGGAAATATTCCTTGCACCGTTTCTATTTTTTTAAGAAATTCCAACGAAATGAGTAACTTTATTGAATACAGAAGTTGCTCGGTCGATTGCAAACTCAGCTGTAACTTTCTTCCTCGGTGAAGCAGTCGGTGACCTATGGCACATGGTGCGTTCTTGTTACAGTGCAGTTATTGAACACACCAACAGAGTGATTTTCCTTGAAGATGATGACGTAGCAGCTGTGGTGGACGGTCGTCTTTCTATCCACCGGATCAAACGCACGGCGGGTGATCATCCTGGCCGAGCCGTCCAGACTCTGCAGATGGAACTTCAGCAGATCATGAAGGGTAAAGTCTTTTGATCCTTTCCTCCACGTTCAGTAGGGGACTGCTCCCTGTCAGCTGGCACCAGTAGCTGAGGGATGTAAGTTGTCAGGTTGAGGAGTCTCTCTCCTGTCTGTCTTGGACTGTGCCCTAAAAAAACAAAATGTCACGTTGGGCATGTCACCTCCATCAGTGGAAACACTTGCATCCCGCACCTTTCCAAATATGCAGTTCCATATCGGGGTGAAAGGCTCTTTATTTCTGGCCCTTAGTGCAATAAGCAAGTTTTCTGCTTTGCTCTCATGTGCTCCTCTGTTCACTGCAGTTCTGGTATAATGTAGTTTCTTTCCACTGTTCCTTTATTTATTTCTTTGTTTATTTTAGGTAATTTCAGTTCATTTATGCAGAAGGAGATTTTTGAGCAACCAGAATCTGTTGTCAACACCATGAGGGGCAGAGTCAACTTTGATGACTACACTGGTAATTATGAAGACTCATTGGGTTTGTTACAGTTTTAGGTCTAGTGCTCTCCAAATGAGCATTGCTGGGGTAGGAGCTAGATAAATAAGCTGTGTGTGTAAAAGGAAATGCCATTACTTGGAATGGGCCTTCCACAACAGTGACAGGAGAGGGGTAGTCTCTTTGCTGACTCAGGTTGTTATTTATGATGGGTTTGGTCATGTGGTTTCCTAGCAGAGAAAAGGTTCTCTTTACTTGGAGAACCCAGGAAACATTGAGGACCCTGAAAAGTCACATGCTATTTTTGTCTTTTGCTACTTCAACATTTTTTATTTCTTTTTTTTTCCTTTTTTTCATGCTAACCTGTTACAGTGAACTTGGGTGGGTTGAAGGATCACATCAAGGAGATCCAGCGGTGCAGACGTTTAATCCTAATCGCTTGTGGGACGAGTTATCATGCTGGAGTTGCAGTAAGTAGCTGTCTTTATTCATTGCCTTCCAAACTTTGGCTGAATTAGCCGATGTGTGTCCTGAGCAAGTTATGGTCTCATCAGATGCAGTAGGGAGAAGTGGCAGGTGTTTTCAAGATGTGTAGGGTAAAAGAGCCTAAATAAAAAGGGGTATGAGTCCAGGTTGTGCTTAGTGGGACTTTTTAGAAGTTTCTTTAAGTGCCTTGGAGCTTTCAAAAATTGCACTATGTGCCTATCTGTGTACTTAGGCACCAAAACCCCTTCAAAACTTTGTCCTTTAACAGAGTGCACACATCGTTTCTGAAAGCTGGACTTAATTGCTTATGGAAGTTTTAGCCTTTGGAAAACTTTTGACAAGAAAATCTCTTCTGAGAAAATTGTCAAGGCATGTGACAACATAGTACTGTAACACATCTACAGAAAGTTAAAGGTCATTCTGGGCTAAGTCTGACTTTTCCCCTTGGTTTTTGCAGGCTCTGACAACAGCGTATTAAAGACATCCATCCAAATGCCATATATAATATGACAATTCTGTTTCATGCCACACAGTTTCATAAATGTTTGCAGGAACATGGCTGTGTACAAACAACATGTAACTGTATTCTCTTGAGGCATGTTCTGATCGCAGGGCAGCTGTAATGGCTTTAGTCCAAGCTCTATTGGGTTGTTAGTTAGCAGCCCAGAAGCTCGGGATTGTTTCATAAAACGAGTCCTTAGAAGTTTTTTTTTTCCCAGATACGCTTTATGGTCATTTCAGGGTGCTTTTTCTTTTCTTCTTTTTTGTAAACACACAGCTGCATTAACTATTTCATATGAATTAGAAAATGAAGCTGACTCTCATCTGGCAACTTGCATGGTCCAAGGAAATGCAGATCACCATCAGAGAGCCCCTCAGGCCAAAATAGGGTTTCATGTGTTTTCCTTATACTGGCTGCAGCTTTTGGGTGCTTCAGTCATTCAAAAAAGGCTTTCGGCATTTATCCTGGTTAAGTTCTTTACATCCTTTTCACCCAGCTCACAGACAAACAGCTCCTGTAAATATGCTCCAGCCATATTGAATTGAATTAATTGAATCAATATTACTCCAGTTGAGTGTAAGGTTCTGGCCTTATGGATTTCTTTGCCAGGTCATGACCAGAGTAGCCTTCCATATTGCCTTTCATATCCTGTGTATGTCGAATGCAGGTCTGTTGAATGGTCTGAGGATATATTTTAATTAATCTCCATTGTGATATTGTGACTAACATTTTCCAGCGCTTGACAATTTAAGGTTCCTTTTGTATTCTAAGGTCTTTACATGTTCCACAGCACTTAAGCAATAACTTCCTGACATCTCTTTCAGACTCGGCAAGTACTGGAAGAACTGACTGAACTGCCGGTTATGGTTGAACTCGCCAGTGACTTTTTGGACCGAAACACGCCAGTCTTCAGAGATGATGTTTGCTTTTTCATCAGCCAGTCAGGTAGGAGTGCTCTTGCCCCACACCCTATCCCTCTGCTATCACTGTAACTCTAAAAACCTAAATCCATTAGGTCAAACTATTGTCCGCTATTCATATTGCTTATTATGTGCATCAGTGAAGATATTGGCGCAGCGATCCGAGAAATGACATATGCTTACTAAATCTCATTTAATCCATCTTTGTGTCAGCACGGCATTCATGCTTTGTCTAGTCAAGTCTTACATGTGGCAAAAAAGGCTTCTATCCTTTCTCTAAGGAGAATTATTTCACAGCATAATAAAACCAAAGATAGATAAAACCACCCTTTGCCTCTCAAATTCAGTAAAGATTTCTTAAATGTTCTTATCACTAATTCAGGAAGAACTATAAATATATACCAAGCCTCATCCTGAACTTATTGAAATACACAGGCACTAGGTGAGAAATTAAATGTGTGTAGAAATTGCTATACTTCCAACATAACACCTTGGAATGAAGCCCAAGATAAATGCTTAAGCTACAGAATAAGTAGTATTCTTAATGAGTCTCATGACCCTGAAATCAGATGAGTGGCTTGTTTTAATATTTGTAATACAGGGAAACAGTTTTCCCTTTTTTTAAAGCTTTTATCTAATTTTGCTGTTTCCTTCTGCTAATGCAGCTTTGATTATTAAAGGAAGATCTTAAAAGGAAATAGCATTTTTTCTTTCTGTCCCTTCACTGCGGTCTAGGGAAAAGAAACCAGGGAAAGTAAGTTATTTTGATCACCATAACAGCATTATTTTGATCACAAGTATCACAGTTATTGCTTTCTGGTTATGAAAATTACTAAGAATTTATTAGTTTGCCTCGACCCTGTTACTATGTCACATAGTCAGAAAGTTTCTAGCATGTCTTGGCTAGGCCTTTTCCCCTGAGTTTTAAATCTGCTGCTTTCCTCTAGCATGGTTCTTGTTCACAAAAACCCTCCAAGGTCCCATCTTCTTTTAAACCTGCTAATAGTCAATGAAGTAGTATCTGAACTAGGATCTAGGATTTGAACTATTGTTGCTGTTGCTTGGGAGAAGTTCAGTAGCCTTCCACTCGAGGCTCCAGGAAATTTAACTAAATACTGAGCTCAAACAAAGCTCTCAGCACCAGATCTTTGCTTTTAAAAACATTTTCTCTAGAAAGGTGAATCCTAGCTAGAGATTTCTGTGCGCCAGGATGTTACAGAAGAAACTAGAGTGTACTCAGCAAACTCTGTTTTAGTGCCTCCTGATGATGTGTCAGCTTTGCATAGAACAAAAAGGCATGTTCCCTTAGCTGAATTACTTACTAAAGCATGCCAGTAACACTATACTAAATGTTCAGTAGCTTCTGTTTCTAGCGCTGTCTCTGGGGCTTTGCTATGTTTGCAGCAGAACTGGAGCATCAGTGCAGTTTTGTGCTCTGAGGAATCGGCCTGTTCGGAGGCCATGAAGGGCTGATGGAGTGTTTAGACTAATTCTTATCTGTTTTCTTGAAAAAAGAAGCCCTGAGTATTCAACTGTGATGTCTTGACTGAGAAGCTGCTTCTGATGTAGGGCACAGCTGAGGCTTCTGAGATGCCATTTTTTAAATGTTGCTTCAAGACACTTGAGCCACACACAAGCCAGGTTATGTGACCAGTGTTAGAACGGTCCTGGACTGAGACTAGCCCCATTCTAGGAGGTAACACAACACCTTTATTCTTTAGGGGAGGGGTGATATCCAGGGAATGAAACTTAAGATACTGCAGTCTTCACAAGCTACAGCAAAAAAATACAAACTTAATACATGACATAATACCCAAAATGAATACATGCAGAGATTTTGAGTTAGAGATTTGAATTTCAGTAAGATACTTAATGTATTTAATGGATGAGCTCTTTGAGGAACAGATTCCATCACTTGAATTCCTGTTAGAGTGGTTCGGTAGATCATTTCGAATTGATGCATACTGCAGTCTTACAAGGTGTAGGATATTAACACCTTTGGAAAAGTGTTAAATCGAACAATTAACTGTCAGGTGGTAATGGCTGTATAGTGGACTCAGATTGGATTAATAAAGCTGGGTATATATTAAACAATATTTTTTTGCCTGGTAAATTAATAAGAGGTAGTTTAATTTAATTTAATTCACATTTGCAAAGCAGACCTAATTCACCTTGCTTATTGAACATTATGCCAAAATTAGTGGCATTAAAAAGCATAGGGTCAATGTTTACCTTCACCAAAGCTATTTTTAAGTCTACAAATCAGGTACCAGTGGCTTTGAAAGTAAGTGAGTTTGCAGAAGATTACATTGCCCATTTCTAGTAGTTGAGTTTTCAGTGGTCCGCAGTGCAGATTAATGCAGACTTTTAATGATTTTTTTTTTAAAAACCCATTTATAAACCTTACCTCCAGCATACCTGCTTTTTGTGCTATCACATATGCAGCATTGCCTGTAACTTGTCTTAAATCATAGCCTTGTACATTTATCTTTGCAGGCGAGACAGCAGATACTTTGATGGGTCTTCGGTATTGTAAGGAAAGGGGTGCCCTAACAGTGGGAATCACTAATACAGTTGGCAGTTCCATATCCAGGGAGACGGATTGCGGAGTCCATATCAATGCAGGCCCAGAAATTGGTGTTGCCAGTACAAAGGTGAGTACCAGATAAATAGCCCTTGCTCATTTGTAGTCAAATTAACTTGCTTGTGGTTGACTGTACTTGTATGTCAGCAGAAGCTCTTTTTAACCACACATATTGCATGGGGCTTCTCTCTTCCTTGGCATTCTTTAATATTACAAAAAAAAAAATCCAAGTTATTTTGGAACATATTAAAAATGTGTCAAATGAAGCTACTGAACATTTCTACATACAGCTAAACAGAAGGCTACAGTGGAATTATTTTGAATATTGAAGTATGGGAACCAATTCCTTTAATTCTTTTTGCTGCAATAAATAACCTTAAGTAAGGAAGAAACCTTTATTATAACCTACTTCACTCTGATTAGAAGTGGCTGAACACAAAAGACTTAATTTGCATCTTTGGATGGTCCTGTAAGTTGTATGCATTTCACTTTCTAGCACTGTCACGGCTAGAAAGTGAAACTTTGTTAAAGGAATCCTTTTAAAGAAGATTCCTTTGCTATGTTGTACGATGAAGATGTTTTGCATTGCAGGTAAATTATATGACCATTTTGTTGGACGGCTTCAGGCTGCTGGATAAACTTCCAGGGGATTTGGGGATTAATGGCAAAAGTACAACTGTATTCACGAATGGAAATATGTAGCTACCTTGAAAGCAAAGTGGGGAAACCTTGTTGCTACTTGGGTGGTTTATAATCTTGCTTTCTCCTAAGGCTTTTGCTGTACCTAAAAAGTACACCAGCATGAAAAAGAAAAGGTTCCAGCAGAACCTTATTTCTTATTTAAAATGTGCAAACATAATAATTCCTGTCATGTACAATTCTGAGGCCAGATTCTCCACCCTATAGTAAGAGTAGTCATTCAACTGGATGGAGTTATACCAGCATAAGTAACAGGAGAATCTGTCTCTGATTAAAATAGTAACAAAGCCAAACCTATACAAATCCCCCATAATTAAGATTTTTCCAGGCACCTGTTCAAGGTGCTTTCCTAAGAGGTCAGAGAAGCCAGAGTAATCCCTGATTAGCAAGTTTTCCTCACCATAGCAAGTCTTGCAGTATATTGTAAATATTAGAGTTCTGGACCAAATGGCACCAGATCTGTTCACTCTATTTAATTTCCTGTCTGTTCAAATCAAAGGGTGCTTGGCTTCAATGCCTCAGACCACAAGTGCTAAGAAGTATTAAAAGGTAGCAGGTAGCTTCTGCAGTGTGGAATCAGGCAGGCCGTACGCACGCACACTGCTTATACCTCGACTTCTGTAGACGTTTCCAGTATACGTGTAACTCCTTGGCATCTTGCCTGACCCCTGTGGTTGGTCTTGGGACATAGCACTGTTGACTTAGTGCCACCCTCCTTCATCCCAGCATGCTCCACATTCATTCTTGCAGATGTTTTAAAAAAAATAAAAGCAAACATTTATATTTTTAATTCAAAAGATTAAAGAGAGGACAGGATTTCGGCAACAGATGGAGAAAGGCGAGGTCATTAGTTTGCCATTGCTGTTCCGGCTGATTTGGGGCCAGGGAGGGTGCCAGGGTGTTGGGACAGCGTATGAAAACTGCCCGCAGACATGCTTTCTCCAGCGTGCTTCAGTTGTGGCGCAGTTCTGAGGCCAGAAGAGGTGAGCAGGCTTCTGTACTGTTCAAATGAGTTAAAAAATAACCCCATTTTGCAAGCAACTCTGCTAATGGGTCGGTAATCTGAATTCCAAAATAATAAGGGCAGACTTGAAGAGCAGTAATTTTGTGGAATACAGAAAACTATATTTTTGAAAAATGCAGAGATGTCCACTAAATATGGAGCCTGATTTCCTTGGCTACAGCCTCTGGCTACATGCATGGTATCGCATAAAATTTGCTTTGCAGCAGTTCATTCAAATGGAGTGCTTCTGCACAGAGAAATCTGCTTTGATTTAGTTAGGTTCTGGGAGAGATGATGTCAATCTGTTAGATGAATTCAGCCAAAAACCACATTTGAGTTTAACAGTTCACTGGGGAATTTGATCATGGAAAAATCATGATTCTTGCAAAAAGTTTTGAGCGAGCTGTGTTTGTTCCTGGATTCTGTTTACCTTGCCAACTTTATAGTTTGCAGGTCACTTTCTAGTGACACAGAGACTTACCTGTATGTGCTGCAATTTAAATGTCAGATCTTAAATTACTGGTTGGCCCATGAGCCCCAGGAATTGCTCTGAATTTCTATGAAACTCCACTTCGAGAATGTAGGAACCCGAAAGGAAATTCTGGCTGTCGGCAGGAAAAAGTCCAGGCAGTATTCACATTGCTGTTCTGTGTTAATGCCGTTGACTTCCAAACTTGAGCTGTATGCTACCAAGGGCAGAGCATGTGCAATACATCCGATTGCCTTGTCTGCATGCCTGAAGGTTTTCTGGACTCTTTGAATTCTCCATAAACCTTCTGCAGTAACTTTGGCCATACATTTGTGTTTTCCTTAAACAGTGGCAGACAATTAGACAGGTTACAGAGCTGTGCTTTTCCAGTAGGCTGACTGTAGATTGTAATGCATTTCTTGATATTTGCTTTACAGGGTTTGAATCCCTGTCTAGCAAAATGTCACAGGCCAACTTGTTAAATACTTGATATTTTTTGTCATTGTGTGGAGTCTTCCTTTCAAGGATTTTTACAGCACCTCTGATTAAATCTAGCAAGAGCCATGTTTTACACTAGCCTTGCAGATGCTTGTTTAGGGTAATTGTTTAGTTTGAAAGCTTGCCTTCATTTGAGTTCATTTGCTTTGTTTATTCGTGCAGCTGTACACAGTTTTTTAGCTTTGGTTTCCCCTGCAGCCAGAAACGCAAGTTGCTGTGGTCCTGTTGGACTCAAAGCATGTACCAATATAGTACAGCCCAAGAAGGGTAAAAAGGTGAGAATCTGCATTTTGCTGGCTGGCATCCCCATTGCAGGGTGAACCAGACTAAACACCTTCCATGAACAGGGCTTTTTATTTTCTGTGATCAATTTTAAATAGTGAAAAATGGTGAGGCCAGTTTAATTCACTGCTTTCTACAAATGATTTCCACATGAGGAAAAATGTCTAGTCCAGCTATTTCATTGAAGGTACCTTGATGAAAACTGGATCCAAAGTACTTGTCTGAAATGCGGACTTTCAGCATTTTCCTCACTGTGTTGCAGCTTTTGAGTGTGCTGGGTTTTTTTACATGGGTGCATCAAAATACGTGCTTGTTCCATCAGTTAATTGCTTTGCAAGTGCTAGAGTATAGCTGTTGACTCAGTAGCAGTGTGGAGATGGCTATATGTCTACTTGCTTTCCGTTTCACTTGTCTGCAGCAGCCCTGTTCCCATCTGCGGTGATTTTGGCTACTGATTGTAATACAGCCTGGTTTTTGCCTCTTGCATTTATTTAACTTAGTGAGTTAAACAAAGAGAGAGCAAATCAGCTGCCAACAGGAAGGGGGATACTACTGAAAATATTACTCTGCAGGTCCAACATGTGGCACCTGGGGTCGGGTGTTGCAGAATAAGGGTGGTGGTGATCGGTTCTCTGTTTATCATGCACTTGATTTACTGCACTTCTGAACACTGAACTTGTGCTCATTACCTTAGCCGGCTTGAAATGCAGTTGTGCTTGCTTCAGCATGGGCCTGCGTTCCCACGGATGCCTTGCGCTTTTCGTTCTTGTGTTTCCATGTTGAATTGGAACGAAGATTGCAGTGCAGCAGCATGGCATTGCGCTCATGACTTTTTAAAAGCAAATCTAAGCACTGCCCGAGTGAAAAGCAGCTTCACGGGGGAACTTCAAACCTTTCCAGCCAAAAAAAAACAGTACCTCTTCCACCATTTAATCTGCCCATTAAAAACTAGACATGGAAACCACAAAACAGTTGTATTTTTCCCTCCAACATCTGTTGCTGACATCACGGTTGCATACCACAACACAGGCAAGGCTATCTAAAGTCTGATAGTCTCCAGCTGTTGCACAGCCTCCCTTTAATAATGGCACTATGAAAATAACTGTTTCTGGTGATTTGGCAGCCTTAAGATACTGCTTTAACCATCCCCCACCCCCCTTTTTTAATTCAATCTCAAATGGTTAGGTTTAGCTTGGATACTCAAGTTTCATCTAAATTCCCTTTCATATGAGCCATAAAAATGGACCTAATCTCTAAGGCTCCTCTGAAAATCCCAGCCATTAATCCCAGCCCACTTTGTCAAGGTTGCAGTGTGCTTTGGAATAACCTGTATCAGTGCAAAGTGCTGTATTATAAGATCCTGGAAATAAAGGTGCATCCACTTTCATACTTTTAACATTGGACTCTGAGGGCCTCTTGTGCTTAAAACCGACTAACCCCGATAGTTGTGGATTATGAATCAAGGCTTGTGTCTGTACTGTTGTGTGGCACTGAATGTGATGGCACTTATCTTCCTCCTCTCTCTCCTTCCTAGGCCTACACTAGCCAGTTTGTTTCTTTAGTGATGTTTGCCCTCATGATGTGTGACGACAGGATTTCTATGCAAGAAAGGCGCAAAGAAATAATGAGAGGTCTGAAAGGACTGCCAGGTACGGGTCGCGTTGGTCGGCACTGTTCCCTTCGCTCTGTTCCTGTCTGCAAAGGGCCAACACGAGATCCATTATTTGAAGCGAGCCAGAATGGGTGGCCTGCTTTCGACTCTAAATGTGCCTGTGGTTTTTACCCTGTGAACAAAAGATGCAGTATCTTTGTTAAGGATTTAAGGCCAGGATGAAGTTGTGGGCAGAGGACGGGGTAGATTGTGTGGCATTTGCCCATTGTAGGCTGAACTTTTTGGACTTGGTGTTTTTTGTGCAGAGGGGGCTTGGCAACCAAAATGATCGGGCATGGAGCAGTTGACGTGCCAGGAGAGACTGAAATGGTTAGGACTCTTCAGGTAGAAAGGAGAAGGCTGAAATGGGGTATAATAGAGAGCTATAAAATCATGAAGGGGTTGGACTGACTGAGGGAGGGACTGTACACCAAGTACCAGAATACTAAACAAGGGAGCACCGGCTGTCAGTAGTAGGTGACAGATTAAAACTAACAAGAGAAAGCACTTTTTAATGCAACGTATAGTTAACTTGTGGAGCTCATTGCCACAGGAGGTGGTGGAAGCAGATAGCACAGGCAGATTCAGGGAGGAGATGTATTAATAGCTGTTGAACAAAATGGTTGAAGATGTTTCCTCTGGCGTCAAAGCCCTGGCTGGGATGATCTAGTTGGGAACGACCCTGCTTTCAGCAAGGGCGTTGGTCTAGATGACCTCCTGAGGTCCCTTCCAACCCTCATTTTCTGTGCTTCTATGAGTCTGTCTCTAAACCTAGAACTGGGGATTGGTGGTACTGAATAAAGAGTAGGTCCCTGTAGAGATCGTTCTCATATAGCAGCCACTTCTGTCACTTGGAGCACTGGTCGGATGCAGTATGGCACTGCTTGCTTAGGTTCTTATACATGAGATTACAGAGTCGTTTACTGGGCTCCAAAGGGGCAATTGATGGTTCCCAGCACAAACAAATGTGTTATCCTTCAGTGAGAAAACAGGAGGGTTCGTACCAAACCCAAATGTACTTGGAGGGGAACCGTGCTTTACTTACCTCTTTGTCTCTTCCTCTTAGACTTGATTAAAGAAGTGCTGAGCATGGATGATGAGATCCAGAAACTGGCAACCGAGCTTTACCACCAGAAGTCCGTTCTGATCATGGGCCGGGGTTATCACTATGCAACATGTCTGGAGGGGGCTTTGGTAAGGAAACTCTTCATTTGAAGCTGGGCTTGACTGGTGGCAGGGGCGATGTGTAGGCGGTGCACCCCCCCTTTGCTGCCAACCGTGCCAGCAACATCTGCAGGAGCTTCCAGCTTATGGCCACCACCCCCAGTGCAGCTGTGCCCCCCCCCAGCCAACGGGGCCACGCACCATTCGTGACTGGTGGAGTTGGATGGTAAACTCAAACCCTCCAGCACTGAGCTTGGCCCTGGAGTAGCTGATATTTAGGTGAAATGTTTGTTTTGCTTTCTGTACAAAGTATTTAAGATGAACTCTAAGCAGGGCACTTTGCAAACCATTTAACCCACTGTCTTAATAGCTGTGTACTGTAACCATTTTAAACATGCACCTGTTGCTCACATAGTAACCTTGATTAGAGTCTGGAGTTAAAGAAATAAAAAGAGCAAAGCCTTCCGTAGCTGGAGCAGTTTCCAGTTGTTCCACAAGCATGTTTTTGCTAAGTAAGTACACACCCATCTTACATTTGGATCTGTGCAGACACACTATGCATTACCCCAAACCAGAGAGTTATGGGTAGATCTGGGGGTAGAGAACCAAGAGTTTTGGTGGCCTGTTTCTTAAGCTAGGACACCGCTTGAAACTTCTTCCAGGCTTCCCACCTCCACATGTTGACTTGTGCCAAAAGCAAATGGTGAGAGGGAGTTTAAAAGGTAAGAGTCGTCTTCAGATCCTTGCTCATTCTGAGGAAGAGTGATGTAAATAGCTGACGCACCCTGATAGCGAAAAACATTGTCACTGCAGGGGAAATAACTCTATCAATATTCTTCCTGTGCAGAAAATTAAGGAAATCACCTACATGCATTCAGAAGGGATATTGGCTGGTGAGCTGAAGCACGGTCCCTTGGCACTGGTGGACAAATTGATGCCGGTTATCATGATTATCATGCGGGACCATACATATGCCAAGTGCCAGAATGCTCTCCAGCAGGTTATCGCACGGCAGGTAAATTAGAGCCACGTTTCATTTGTATCCATCCTCAGAGTCTGGAAGTTAAAATTGATTCCTTTGCTGGTAAAGTATTAGGAAATGCTAGGACGTGTGGGATGGGCCAACAGCATTGTGGGCAGTACTGTAGTGCAAGTGAGGGCAGTGCTTTCAATGAGCCTTTCAAACCTTTTCCTTCATATTCAGCTCAGGTGAACTTTGAGGCCACTGAACAGCTGTTAGGTGGACACTGTCCATTTAGCAAAGTCAAGTCAGTGGGCTTTTAATCGCAATTTTATGTAAGATGAACAAAACGTGGTTTAACAGCATCATCTTCAAAGGAGTCCTGGAGAGAATGATGCATCAACTTCTGTGAACAAAAGCTGTTGTAAATATTTAATTCAATAGCTGGTGAAGCCCAGAGCTTACACACACATTTATATTTATAGAGACTTTTTCTAGCTAGAGCAGGGGTGGGTGAAATAGAATGGCCTCGCAGGCTGTATCTGGCCCACGGGGCCCCTAAAAAAATGTAGAAAATTAATATTTCTCTGCCCTTGGTTCCTTTCAAATATGTTCTTTGCTCACTGTGTGGCCGGTGCCCCACGCTGCAGCCTCTCACAGCCCACCTGGGACTGACTGTGCCTGCTCCAGACAGCCCCACGTGGGCTGCGAGCGCTGGCCGTGGGGTGAGCGAGGGGCCGCTTTTCCCTGCGCTCAGTAGCAGGTTCTTCCCTGCTGGCAAGCAGGGGGTCAGGGCTGTGTGCTGCCCCCCGCCTGTACCACAGGGCTGGGGGGCACTGGGTGTGAGTGGGAGCACGGGGCCCAGACTGGTGCCCCAGGGTCAGTGCCGGTGGGGCCCAGAGCAGGGTGGCAGTTGTGCGGGGTCCCAGCTGGCAGGGGCTCTGTGGAGCAGGGCCAGCTCCCCCCTTCCTGCTGGTGCAGCCCAGCCCAGCTCCCTGGACCCCTGGCAGCCTATGCCCCACTTTGGGCCCCACCAGTGCTGGCCCTGGGACATTGGTCCCAAGATGGTGACCGGGGGGCGGGGCACCTGTCAAGGGGCGGGACTACCATGCAGACCTCGACAGCCTGCCAAAACTGGGTAAGTGGCCCTCTGCCCGAAATAAGTGCCCACCCCTGAGCTAGAGCATGAAAATATAAATTTAAATCTGATTTTTTTCTGACTTCGGTTAGTTCGGCAAGAATAGCACGGGTGGTATAAGATAGTTTAACATTTTAGACATTTCTCAGCTTATGTCCTATGAAAACTATCTACTTCCATCAGGGCTTTGAGAAGTGATGTGCCGTAGCCGACTGAACATTTTAATACTTGAGTGTTGTTTGGCATCCTGTAAAGAAGTTCCCTGGTAAAAAGGCAAGAGTAACAGACCCCTAGTTTAGGCTTAAGCCTTCAACACAGTATTTTAGGGTCACAGTACTCTTAATTTCTAAACAGCACAGCAGTCACTTAAGTGAAATATTTGTAGGATTTGAACAAATAAATATATGGCCCTTGTCAGTCTTTCCTGATCATGGTTTCTCTGCTTGCTGATGCATGTCTTTCTTTCAGGGAAGGCCCGTGGTGATATGTGATAAGGAAGATATAGAGACAATTAAGAATAATAAGAGGACAATCAAAGTTCCCCATTCTGTGGACTGTCTGCAGGGGATCCTGAGCGTTATCCCTCTCCAGCTCCTGGCTTTCCATCTTGCAGTGCTCAGAGGCTATGATGTAAGTACTCTGCTAGCTCTGTCCCCCTTCCATACTGGACTTACTGTTGAGAGGACAGGAAGAGATCTTTGTTATGCTGAACAGAAAGCTGTGCTCTAATAAGGCCTTAATAGGGACATCAACATAATGAAGATTAGGTCACTGGGGAGACCACCCTGGAGGAAAAGTGTGCATGCCTTAGCTCCATCAGCGACCAGTAACGTCCTGTGTATTTAGCTTTGAGTAGTCCTTCCTGGTCATAATGCTTTATACGGCTCTGGTAAAAGGTTCTGCCCTTCTTCCTAAAGGCTTAGTGTGTGACCTTCAATAAGTCATAACCTTTGCCTCAGTCTAGCATCACTGTCTCTCTCATAAGTTGTCATTTTGGCTCCTAGGAAGACAAATATTTTAATCTGAGCCTATGAGTCCCAGAGCACAGGAAGCCTTGGTGTGTTTTTTTTGCACAAAAGTGGAAAACCTTGCCAAGACATTCCAGTAACTTTCAGATGTCTCCCTGTAATGGCTCTTAGGAAGTATAAAATGTTGATGCCTACCTTCCTGTTCACAAATTCCATGTTTTATCTCTTTGCAGGTTGATTTTCCAAGAAATCTGGCCAAGTCTGTAACGGTAGAATAAAAGCTCATCTGAATGTTAGGGGCATGGGGAAGGGAATGAGAGACTCTTTTGGTACCAAAATACTTTGTTTTTTCCAGATCCCTTAAGTCAAATCTTATTTTGTTAAATCATTGTTTGTGTAGAAGATGATCATAATTCTTTTGCATTTGGTGATTGTCAAATAGATTCCACGTGCTATGGCCATAGTTGTGTTTTGTTGAATTACACCTCACAAAGGGTGTTGAATTATTTTCTTTGATAAATGCACAGTCATGTAGTTGAGGGTCCCCCACTTTACATTGAGATAATTGAGCTGTATTTGTTATTTAGTGTGGTTTGCTCATATCATTGAAGAGATATGGTTACATGAAGTAATTGTAGTGCTTTCAGGCCATGAGGGCAGGTCCTGGTATATGAAATTAGATTTGGCATCATGATGAATTGTGAGTCGCCAGGGATTATAAAGAGCTTGGGTCAAATTCTGACTCCTTTACACTGGGGAACTTCACAGACAGGTTGTTCTCTCCTCTGAAATCTGTTGGTAAACTTGCTCCAAGTAGCCTCAGCAGGATCTTGCCTGTGCTTTAGCACCTGACAGTCCTTTCAGACAGCGGGCCAAAATCTACTCTTCCACCAGCACATGTGGAGTTGAGGCTGAACCTCAGTGCAAGTGAGAGCAGCATCTGACCCAGTCCTTGCATAGTTACCAAAGTGAAAAGCAACCCTGAGAGCCTGTTGTGCAGTAGTCGCAGAACTATACATTCCCCAGGCTGGCAAGGGACTCTTGACCCCTCACCCCCAAAACAAGTTTTGCAACACTAAAACACCCAGCATTTGGGTACTGGTTCGATTACGAGCAACCCTGGTTTTGAACACCTGCAAGACCTTTCCTCTGTGAACAGGATCCTGCTTTGAGCATCCCTGCTTTCACCCTGCCAGGTGGGTACACACCCAGAGGGATGACACTAACTGTGCACGTGTCAACTGCTACGTTAGGGCAGTCGCAGGTAACACGTGCATGCCCCTTGGTTTCATTTGAGCTGCTTACTCCGTTAATGTCTCGGTTTGTGGGGTGGATAGCAGATAGCTACAAGGGCATGTGTGGCTTTGTTTCTAAAATGTTGGTGTTTGATAGTGGTTTATATCTGGGGCAGGGAGCCAGAAGACTTCGTGGACAAGACTCCAAAAAATATTGAGAGAGATTTCTCTCGTAACTGAATTGAATTAAAAGTTGTAATTGAAACTAGAGGCAAATGTTCAGCACCTTGATTTTTAGAAATGCAAGTCATTCAGGGACAGTAAATGTCACCTGATGGAAAGGGGTGAAATTCATACCACATTTGGTGCGTTTGAGCTAAGTAGCTATATTGTTATGCACAAGGCTGACAGTTAAAAAAACAAACCCATAGTACTTCAAGACCTGCAGTCAAGCTTACTACTGAGCAGTTGAGGTCACTTACTACTATGGAGCCAAAGTTTGCAGGGCTAATTGTCTAACGTGCACTATTTTGACATGTAGACTTCTACTTGATCAGGAAGACTGTCCACTGCTTTAAGGACTTGGTTTTCTTTCAGCAAGCATGCTGTCTGCTATTGTAAAATCCTGGCTTGTACAATAGACAAGTCCTCCAAATGGTGTTTGCACCAATTCTTTCTAATCAATGTTAAATATCTAATATATGTGACTTAAGTACAAAACCATCCTGGATTTGTTTATGGCTTAATTTTTCCTGTTAGCAAAAACTTTGGAAAAACCGGTTTCACAAAACCAGTATGGAACTGGACTCTGTGTACTGAGACTTGGTATGGGTAATGACTTGTATTTAAGCCATTACTTTTGAATGCAAATTGTTATCCTATGAGTATGTTTAGAAGTGTAGTAGTAAATATAGTAGTTTAGCCTTTCATAAGCAAATATTGTAGGCATTGATTAACTACTGCTTCCACCTCTGCTTTATGTGAAAAGTGAAAGACTTGTTTTCTGCAAGAATTTAATGATAAGGAGACGGTAGTAAACCTTCTTTGCTGAAATTTGCACAACTCATTGAAATATAGGTCTTTCATGCTCCCAGCTGGAAGATTTGACTTGTTTCTGCTCTTCTCAGCTCATGACCTTCTCCCCTCCTCTGAAAATAAAAATGTCACCCTGTAACCCTATGAGAGCTGAAATAAAAGGGGCCTGGCCAAGGCATAGGGAAGCTTTTCCCCAGGGTTGAAGGAACTGCAGGATCAAAGCCCACCATAGTATAGATTCTGTTGTGAATGAGATCCTTGAGGTGACAGGGCTTCTGGCGTAGTTGTATGTGCATTGTTTCAGACTTTTGAGATCTCTGCCATCAAACTTAATAGAAGCCGACTAGCCTGGGATGGCTCGCTTTACAGTTTGGATGCTTTATTGTCTGATGCAGGCAGGTAGGCTAGTGCCTGAGACTGGAATTCTAGGCAGATAAACGGTCTGGAAAGATCAGGTACTTAACATCCAGCTTTGAACAAGTTAGCTACCAGTACAAAATGTGTGCAAAGGACCAAAGAGCCAAGAGCGTATGGTAAAGGTGTAGGTGTGACACTTAACATCTGCTGTTAAAACGAGTGCTCTGTGGTGGTAGTAAAGGCGTTACCCTGTAGGCTTAGGACATAGAATTTGCATTTGTTGGAAATGAATAATACCCAGTGAGCTATGCTAAGCATCTAAAAGTCAGCTTGCCAAAACTAGTCATGACTTAAGCTACTTGCAGATAAGAAATAGCTTGTTAAATGTTGTAATGTGTTATAAAAGTGGGATGCTTCGCATCCAAGACTGCTTTGGAATATAGGCACACTTGAAGATTTCCTACCATGCCTTTGGATAACTTAAGCATCTTGGTACTGCTGTAATTGCCATCCCTGGGTCCAGGAGTTACCTTTCATTGCATTGTTTTCATCTAGCTGTGTTGCTTTTTGATGAATGAATGTTACTTTTTACTCTAGACTATTTTTGTTTTCATGAGATTCCACAAAAACAATTGAGTGTCTTGTGATATTTATTAATGACTTGTAGGTCTCCCCTTCTGCCACAAATGGTTAGCTGACTGAGCCAATGAATTCATTCCTTCTGAACTGACTGAGAAAGGCAGTTGCCTCATCGCTGTAGTAGAGCCCCACCTGAACAAGATAGCAGTGCAGGCTGTTACTGGGTGCTTAGCAGTTATCCTCTGTGCTCTCTTGTAGAGCAGCCATGTTGCTAATAAGATCCTTCTGTTTTCTTTTAGTATCTCTCCTCTTATTTGTGAGTACGGGCATCTGTAATCGAGACATCCCTTCCACATGCAGGAGAGGAGAAAAAGATCTTTCATCAGTCATGTAAAAAACAACACACACACACCCAAGTAATAAAAAGCTTTATTGAAAAATAGGCCCAGGTACTTCCTTAGCTTCCCACTTCTTGTGCAAGTCTTCAGGTAGCAGTGTGCGCCACAGCCCCATACTGGCTGTGGCATAAGGCCTGGCAGACTTGCACTTTACTGCTTTGTCAACTCTGCAGCTTGCACCAGTGCAAGCCTCACATTTCAAGTTGGAAAAAATTGGAGCCAAATTACTACACTCCCCTGGCTATCACTAGTCATGTGCAGCTAATACAGCCTAGTCGCTTGTTGAATTACTAGTTAGCTGACTCAAGGCTGACCTTACTAGAGTGCTAGGATGGTTTTCTATGCTGCAGGTAGCTAAGGCATGTCCTGTCTGTTTAACCTTTTCCCTCCTCTAGAAGCCGTCTGCTACTGACCAAACATGGGGCACCAGAGATGAAAGACTGTCAATGCAATAAAGCCCCAGAAGCAGGTGTGAACACTGCTGTGGCTTGGTTGAAACAGCCACAGTTGCTGAAAGTTGGCACCTGGTGCAGGAACAAAGGAATTTAGAAGGGATGATTGTTACCATTGCTTCCCTTGTACATAGCCAGTCTGCTTGGTTTATGGGGACCATGCCTTACCTTGTTTCCTGTATTTGGTTTTGTCTCTTGCTTCTTTTGTATCTCACCATTTGAATTAAATGAAGTGCCCAACATTCAAGCAACAGAGTGGCCACCTTGTGTTAAATCTAACTTGTTGGCAGTGGGGAAACACAGGAAAGCAGCTCTCCCTTTTGGGCATTCCTCCTTGTCTGCCCAGTGCTAGGGCAACTTAGCAAGGCATGTTGGGGTGGCCTACAAAGTGCCCTGTGGTCATCTGCCTCCAATAGTTGCTCAAAGGCTGGCTTTTAGCCCAGGGCTGGCCCTGTCTCCCCAGGCTCTAGCCCAGTCACAGCAAGCCTCTTTATCATGTGGTCCTGACCCCCAGCCAAAAGACAGCAGACTTGTGAGCAAACTAGCTCACTTCCCAGAAACAATCAGCTTCCTTCAGGCAGCAGGCCCACTCATCATCCAGAGGCCACAGCTGAGGACCATTCTACATCAGCTCCATTTCAGTTCACCAAACCTGGCCACACTCCTTGAAAACAGAGTAAGGCTGTTACAGATCCCGTCATCTTCTGCTAGCCATGCAGGTGCACACAGATGACTTCAGAAAGCTTGTTGTATTCAGGCCTTGCCTCTAGCCCCCCAAGCCCAATTGACCAATTACTGGTTGGCCTCCTTTCATGCCACAAGACTCAGATCCTCCTCCTTAATAGACTTGACCATCTCCTATGGCCACTAACAGGACTTGGCACATCCATTAACACAGGGCACAATTCCCACCCCAGATGCAGACTGGGAAGCCTTGCTGTGACACCATAGTAAGTTGCTTTTGAATCATTCTCTGGTGCTTGTGCTGGACTTAACTTCTGGAACCCGCATACCTAGCACAGGGGTCGGTACACACCCCTTAGACAGACAGATTGACAAAGAGCCACAGGATAGGGCGTAGCTGCAGTCTACATAGGACAGGACCAGGACCCAGGTCCTTCTCATTCCAAGTCCTGGACCCAGCTGCTCAGGCCACAACTGAGGCACTAGGGGTGGGTCAGGGCCTAGTAGGAAGTAGCTGCAAGGAAGACAGTGGGCCAAGATCCTGCAAGCCCCTCATAGGTGCAGTGATTTCTGGGGACCCCCACTCCATATAGGCATAGGCTTCTACAGCCAGATATTTAAGGGTACTTGGGTACAAACAGAAGTGCAGGAGTTAGCTGAGCTCTCAGGCACCATCCTGTCCCCTCCCATGGGTGTTAGGCAACCACTGACTTTTATGAACCTTACTTCATGGCTAAATACCTTACACATCTGGCCCTTGCTATGCCAAAACAATACCCAAAACCTGTGTTTGTTCACCACAAGTACTCAGTGCCATGGCATGAGGAAGAGGAAGGGGGAGGTCATCGTCAAATACTCTCCATACTGGCCTTCATGTTCATGCTGGTCAGTCCATGCAGGTTTCTCTTGCAACACCAAAAATGTATTCATGCCTGCACTGGAGAAATGTCGTCTTGACATCAGCAACCACCTGCTTGGTGACTTTGCAAACTCAGTTGCATGCATTGATCTAACTCAGGAGCAGGCAATTATTTTGGGCAGAGGGCTGCATGACAGGCAGCCCAGGGCAAATTAATATTCATTTTCTAAACTTTTAGGGGCCCCGTGGGCCGGATAGAATGGCCTGGCGGGTGGCATTTTGCCCACCCCTGATCTAACTCCAGCTGGAGCCACGTGGCCGTGCACGGCCCCGTGTTACCTTTGTTGGTTAGTTCTCGGTGGCAGAGCACAGCTCCCCTAGCTCCGGTA